TCGCTGTATAGGTAGTTTTGGCAACTAAAATAATTTAGTCGCTAAACGAAAAATAAAAATTTGCATTTTATCTTTCGCGACCAAAAGTTTTGTCGGCAAAAATTTAATTTCAGGAATTAAAAAATATTTTAGTCGTTGTATAGGTAGTTTTGGCAACTAAAATAAATTAGTCGTGGAATGAAAAATAAAAATTTACTTTTTATCTTTGGCAACCTAAAGCTTGGTTGGAAAAAATTTAATTTCAGCGACTAAAAAATATTTTAGTCGCCATATAGGTAGTTCAGGCAACTAAAATATTTTAATCGCTGAATGAAAATTAAAAATTTCCTTTTTATCTTTGGCGTTCAAAAGTTTCGTCGGCAACAATTTAATTTCAGTGACAAAAAAATATTTTAATCGCTGTATAAGTAGTTTTGGCAACTAAAATAATATAGTCGCTGAATGAAAATGAAAATTTTCCTTTTTATGTCTGGCGACCAAATGTTTGGTCGGCAAAAATTTAATTTTAGCGACAACAAAATATATTAGTCGCTGTATAGGCAGTTTTGACAACTAAAATAATTTAGTCGCTGAATGAAAAATAAAAATTTACATTTTATCTTTGGCGATCAAAAGTTTGATCGGCAAAAATTTAATTTCTGGAACTAAAAAATATTTTAGTCACTGTATAGGTAGTTTTGGCAACTAAAACAATTTAGTCGCTGAATGAAAAATAAAAATTTCCTTTTTATCTTTGGCGACCAAAAGCTTGGTTGGCAAAAATTTAATTTCAGCGAATAAAAAATATTTTAGTCGTTGTATAGGTAGTTTTGGCAACTAAAATACTTTAATCGCAGAATGAAAATTAAAAATTTCCTTTTTATCTTCGGCGAGCAAATGCTTGGTCGGCAAAAATTTAATTTTAGCGACAAAAAAATATTTTAATCGCTGTATAGCTTGTTTTGGCCACTAAAATATTTTAGTCGTTGAATGAAAAGTATAAATTTACATTTTATCTTTGGCGACCAAAAGTTTGGTTGGCAAAAATTTAATTTCAGCGTCTAAAAATTATTTTAGCCACTGTATAGGTAGTTTTGGCAACTAAAATAATTTAGTCGCTGAATGAAAAATAAAAATTTACTTTTTATCGCTGGCGACCAAAAGTTTGGCCGGCAAAAATTTAATTTTAGCGACTAAAAAAATATTTTAGCAGCTGCATAGCAAGTTTTGGGAACCAAAATAATTTAGTCGCTGAATGAAAAATAAAAATTTACTTTTTATCTTTGGCGACCAAAAGTTTGGTCGGCAAAAATTTAATTTCAACGACTAAAAATTATTTTTTTCGCTGTATAGGTAGTTTTGGCAACTAAAATAATTTAGTTGCTGCGTGAAAAATAAAAATTTACTTTTACCTTTCGCGACGAAAAGTTTCGCCGGCAAAAAATTAATTTTAGCGACTAAAAAATATTTTAGTAGCTGTATAGGTAGTTTTGGCAACTAAAATAATTTAGTCACTGATTGAAAAATAAAAATTTACTTTTTATCTTTGGCGACCAAAAGTTTGGTCTGCAAAAATTTAATTTCAGGAACTAAAAAATATTTTAGTCGTTGTATAGGTAGTTTTGGCAACTAAAATAAATTAGTCGCTGAATGAAAAATACAAATTTACTTTTTATCTTTGGCAACCAAAAGCTTGGTTGGGAAAAAATTTAATTTCAGCGACTAAAAAATATTTTAGTGGCCTATTGGTAGTTCAGGCAACTAAAATATTTTAATCGCTGAATGAAAATTAAAAATTTCCTTTTTATCTTTGGCATTCAAAAGTTTGGTCGGCAACAATTTAATTTCAGGGACAAAAAAATATTTTAATCGCTGTATAAGTAGTTTTTGCAACTAAAATAATATAGTCACTGAATGAAAATTAAAAATTTCCTTTTTATGTCTGGCGACCAAATGTTTGGTCGGCAAAAATTTAATTTTAGCGACTAAAAATATTTTAGTCGCTGTATAGGTAGTTTTGGCAACTAAAATAATTTAGTCGCTGAATGAAAATAAAAATTTACATTTTATCTTTGGCGACCAAAAGTTTGATCGGCAAAAATTTAATTTCAGGATCTAAAAAATATTTTTGTCGCTGTATAGGTAGTTTTGGCAACTAAAATAATTTAGTCGCTGAATGAAAAATAAAAATTTCCTTTTTATCTTTGGCGACCAAAAGCTTGGTTGGCAAAAATTTAATTTTAGCGACTAAAAAATATTTTAGTCGCTTTATAGGTAGTTCTGGAAACTAAAATATTTTAATCGCTGAATGAAAATTAAAAATTTCCTTTTTATCTTTGGCGTTCAAAAGTTTGGTCGGCAACAATTTAATTTCTACGACAAAAAAATATTTTAATCGCTGTATAAGTAGTTCTGGCAACTAAAATAATATAGTCGTTGAATGAAAATTAAAAATTCCTTTTTATCTCTGGCGACCAAATGTTTGGTCGGCAAAAATTTTATTTTAGCGACTAAAAATATTTTAGTCGCTGTGTAGGTAGTTTTGGCAACTAAAATAATTTTGTCGCTGAATGAAAAATAAAAATTTACATTTTATCCTTGGCGACCAAAAGTTTGGTCGGCAAAAATTTAATTTCAGCAACTAAAGGTTTTGGCAACTAAAATAATTTAGTCGCTGAATGAAAAATAAAAATTTACTTTCTATCTTTGGCGACCAAAAGTTTGGTCGGCAAAAATTTAATTTCAGCAACAAAAAAATATTTTAGTCGCTGTATAGGTAGTTTTGGCAACTAAAATAATTTAGTCGCCGAATGAAAAATAAAAATTTACATTTTATCTTTGGCGACCAAAAGTTTGGTCGGCAAAAATTTAATTTCAGCGACTAATAAATGTTTTTGTCGTTGTATAGTTACTTTTTGCTACTAAATTTATTTAGTCGCTGAGTGGAAAACAAAAATTTGTTTTTATTTTTGGCAACTAAAAGTTTGGTCGCCAAAAATTTATTTTTAGCGACTAAATAGATTTTAGTCGTCATATACCAACTTGTGCCGACTAAAAGAAATTTAGTCACCAAATATCTAGTATAATTTTATTTTTAATCTTTGGTGACTACCTCATTTGGTCGGCAAATATACATTTTTTGGTGGCTAAAACACATTTCGTTGGCAATAAAACTCAATTTTTTTTTTTTTGGGAACACATATTGCCAATTTGAGTTCATGTTTATTTTTATTATTATTAACATTGTTATTTATTATTATAATTTTATTTTTTTATTATTATTATTTTGGAGGGATTTTTAAATTAATTTGGTGAGGAACTCTGGAAGGATTTCAAACACACTAAAATGAGTTAGGGCTTAAACACGTCTCTCTCTCTCTCTCTCTCTCTCTCTCTCTCTCTCATGCCGATTGCCCTCCTCTTGATATTGAATCTCTGTCGCTTTGTTTCCATCGCTGTCGGGTAAGGAGCATCGCTGCCATCAAGCACCACCGTCGATCCACTATTGGAGCATTACCCCAGTATGCCCTCTCTATTTTGCCTTCTCTCTATCCATCTCTCTGCCTCTCTTCCCCTAATATCTGTCTCTCTCACTCTATGACTCTCTCTGTCTTTGTTTTCTTTTTGACTAAAGTAATTTTGTTTTACAATGTCTCACCCACCAGGGCCTTCACCATCCCCATTTTCTAAAGCATCTTCAACTCTCCCTAAAAACAATTTGAGGTATAAATATCCCTCTCTTTTATAAAATGATTAAAGGAACATGTAATTTCTTGTTTTTCTTTTTTTGGGTTGTGAAAGCCTGAAATTCGTAACACTTTAGGATGATTGGGGATCATTGGTTAGGCATGGCTAGGAAGGAGGGTTCGCCGAGAGGTTGATCTCCTCTTCGAGGGTTTTCCTCATCCTCGAAGAGGTCACCTTCTCGGATAAGGTGGTTAGAGAGAATATTCCCTATGTGCCTTACACATGGGCTCCATCCTACATCATGAGGTGCCTATAAATAACACCCACCCATAGCTTTACAAGGGATGGATTTTGGAGAGATAACTCTTGGGAAAGAACTAATTTCATTTCTCCATTATCAACCTTGAAAGTGAAAGTGGGAGATCCATGGGAGAGCCTTGTCATTATTCTCTCTCTTGCTACTTTGCCTTCTTCTTTACCTAATCTCTTATCTCCACTATCACTTTACTTTTGTGTTCTTAGTTGAGACTATTGAAGAATCTAAGTCTCTCATCATCTTCTAGAGAATTCGAATTTTTCTTCAAAAATCTTCGAAGATTTTCGAATTTTCCAACGACATTCTTAAACCCTCTTATACAACCATATTAAATAATTATAAAAGTACTTTTTTAAAAAAAAACTATAATTTATATAATATTTATATTTATCAATTTTTAGAAAGAAATTTGAACAGGTTTTTAGTAAAATAAGGGAAAAACCTCTCTCTCTCTCTCTCTATCTCTCTCTCTCTCTCTCTCTCTTCATTTCCCTCCTTTTTCAAAACACAGTCTGAAAGCGAGTCGAACCATTTCGAAGTGAAAATTTTCTGTTTCCCTCTTCTTTCATCTTCTTCTTCATCCCTAAAAAATCAAAACACAAAGCTTTAATTTTCAAATTTCTTCTCTTTTCCCTCTGCCCACATTTCCAACCCAAAAAACTTCCCAAAATCGAACCTTCAAAACCCTAATTTCGTTTTCCTTTCCCTAACTCCACATTCCCAAACTTTCCCCCCCCTTCTCTGCATTTCAATGGATACCCATCTCACAGAAACACTCCAATTTGAATACCCACCTCCCGATTCAGTTGATTCGAAGCAAACCTTAGATGGGTCTTCACACAATTCACCTCCGTTGCAAACCCTAGATTGTCTGCTCAACTCGTCAGCAGCTCTGCCCGACTTGGATTCCGATGATCACTTTGATTCAGGTTTGTTTGGTGGTGTTGATTCTCAAAAGAATGAAGAAAACGATGCATTCAATTCTTTGCATTGGTCGTCCATGGGGTGGGACTCCCGGGGAGGCACCAAGACCTCGGCCTCGACCTCGGGTTGGTCTGATTGGCCTTCGGTAGAAGACACCAAGCCCTCTAGCTTGGATTGGTCTGATTCAATGCCTTTGCAGGAAGAAACTATAGCCAAGGTTTCTGATTCGGTCTCTCCGGATTGGTCAAGTGAAGCTAAGCCGGCTATGGTGGTGTGTTGTTATGCTAAATCTTCATGCCATACTTAATTTTTAGTTTACTTCTACTGATTTTTGTTTTTAGGAATTTGGGTATTTGAATTTTCTTTATTTTGTGAATTTGTAGGGTGCAGGGCTTGCAAATCTAGGCAACACTTGTTTTCTTAATGCAATCTTACAATGTTTTACGCACATAGTGCCACTCGTTCAGGGTCTTAGGTCATAAAATCACCCGAGGCCTTGTGACCGTAAGATTCTATACCCCGATTATGCGTACTTCGTCTCATTTCGCTTTAGTTTATATTATTGATTTGTTCATATATTTCATTTGTTATATTTATTTGTTGAGTTTTGATTTGGAATTGGAATTTGCAGGTGATAATGAAGGGTTCTGTGTAATTTGCACTCTTCGTGACCATATTGAATACTCCATAGCTTCGATGGACATGGTTGTCTCCCCTTGGAAGCTTGTTGACAATTTGAACTGTATCATCTTCTACAGTGATATTTATTGATATGACACTATGATTTTAATAAAATCGGGTTTAATTGATTGTGTTGATTTATCTACATTTTCTTAGGATTGTAGACACCCCACTTTTGACCGTCCTCAAGACTTGGATGTCATCGTTTGAACACTCGATGATCATCTATGCTCGTGTTCGTTTTGAGTTCCCGGAGGTCTCGGCCACGTGCCTTGCCTCAAGATCTCTCAACTTGACTATTTTGTGCTTGGTTGTGGACCAAGCACTTGTGCTTTTGCTTTTGAGGGAAAAGGGTGGCTTGTTAGCCATCCCCCCAACCCATCGGCCAAGGCCTAAAGCCGTTGGCCCCTTTTTCTTGCCATCGACCAAGAATGTTGGCCGATCGACACTATATTTGGCCGGTCGGTCGACCACCTTTGTTGGTCAATCGGCCATATTTTCCGACCGACCCCTTTCCATTTGCTTTTGGCAGATATTTTGTGCCAACTAGCACAGCTGGCACGCATAATTCCCCCCCATACACGTGTATGGAGGGATTTGAGCCTTGCTTAGCTTCTCCAAGAAGCTTTGCAAAATTGGTTTTCTATAAAAGGAGAGCCTCCTCTCCTTTTCTAGGGGTTCTACAAATTTGATATACAAGTTAGATACATCTCTCTCTATATATATATCTCCCTCTCTCTAGATTTGTGTGTGTGTTTGAGCTCAAAAGTGTGTTTTGTTCTTTCTATTGCACACAAACACCTAGCACTACACTATCCTTGGTTGCTGAGGCACTAGAAGGTTGATATTAGAGTTCTTGGGCTATTTTTGATCCAAGAAGATTGCTGGAGTTGTGTTCTTGAAGTTGTTCTTCAAGGGTGAGTCAACTTGCTTTTGATACCCCATTTTGGCTTAAGCTTTTACACATACTTCTATATTGTTTTAAGCTTAACTCTAAACTACAAAAAGTTCTGATTTTGTATGCTTGTTATGGTTTCTTCAGGTCACTTTTTGGTTGGGGGTTGTCTACCCCCTCTTAGGCCTTGTTTGGCCTTGTTTTGTGCCTTTACTTTTGAGCTTTGGGATCATCTTATTTTGGCCTTCCCACCACTGAAATCCAAAGGATTTTCAGTGGTGGAGAAGTGGTTTTGGAGTCTTGTATAGGAGGGGGACACCCCTCTCTCCTTATGTCTCATATGCTTATGTTGTTGGCTTATAAGAGTAGCATGTTTACTTAGCATGTCTTGGTTCTATTTCAGCACTTTTTAGTGGCTTTTAGAACCTTCCTTAACTCTATTCCATGTTGGTTTGACGGCATCTTGCATGCTTCACATACTTGTAGAGTTATCTTGCATGTTTGCATAACATGCATCTTGTGTTTGGACCACTATTCTTGCATGTTTTGGCTCGACTCCAAGGAGCTTTCCCTCATGTTTTACAACGATTAAACTCTATTCGGTGTTGTCTTGGTCATGCATGCATTGTTTTGTATTGCCTTGGTTCATTCTAGCTTGTAAGCTTTGTGCCTTGAGTTCATTAGCATGTGTTACTTGAAGTATTTTCATGATTTGGCATCATGTGAAATGTAATTTCAGTCCATGTTTCATGGTCACACACTTGCATTTATGACCTATTCCATGCTTTGGATAGTTTGTGTTTCATACCTTAAGAATAGGTCATTGTGCATGCCATCATACTTAGGCCCTTGGGATGCCATCTAAGTGGGTTTTTGGGCTTATTCTAACATGCCGTAACTCTGATTTTATTGGCCTAAGTCATGCCATGTTTGGTTGCAATAGGTGTAGTGCAATTGCCCTTTTTGGCCTTGTATGCGTCTTGTTTTGTGCTCACCTTTCTAGCATGTTTTGGCCTCATCCCATGCATGTTCTAGCCTTGTTTTGGACTGCCTTGGGACTGTTTTAGGTCACCTTGATCCTTTGGGGCTTGGTTGATATGGCCATGGTTCAAGTACCTTGGCTAGCTTTGAACTTGAAGTCCATTAGCATGCCTTGCTTGTGTTATTTGTTTGATTTGGCATCACTCTTAACATAATTTTAGAGCTTATGGTGTCACCATACTACCATGATTGTCACCCCTCGCTCATGTTTGGGTGTTGTGACCTTATGCCTTAACTCTTGGACCATTGCATGTGCATGCTCATTGTGCATTTCATTCTATCACTTCATCATTTTAGCCACTGTTTTTTTTGGTGTGGCAGAGGCCAATCCATTTTCAATGTAAGTCCATGGATCATACGGTTTGTGTGTCGTTGCATGCTTATCGCATTGCATGTTGTCACATCCTTGTTATTGGTATTGTTGTCGCATGCCTATTACGTTGCATGATTGTACGTTTAGGTTTCATTTTGCATGCTTGCTAGTTTGCATTTTGTCACATGCTTGATTAGGTTGCATTGCATTTGGCATGCTTGTTACCTTAGCCTTGTGCATGCTTAGGTATGCACAGCATTACATTTCCATGTTGCATTGTATTTGGCATACTCGCTTGCATTACATTGTGTTTGGTTTGGGGTGTCAAACCAAACACGAGGAGCGAGGAACGTTCGTACTTGAAGTGACGAAACGTGCCTCAATCTTTAGTCGCCAACGCTCTTGATCCAACATGATAGAATGTGAGGCCTTCATGTGTTTTGTGCATTCATTTCATATTCATTTGCACACTTGGCTCCTTTGGCCATCATGCGTTGAAATGCGTGATTGATGGCCTGAGGGTCAAGAACCATACTCCATTGAGTTCATGACATGATAGGAAGGGTGGTTGTGCACACATTGCTTTGAAAATGCATTGCCATGCTCTGTTTGTCCTCTGCTGCAGCAAAACAGCATTTTGCAGAAAGAAATGGCTGGTCGGCTACTTTCAGTGCTGATCGGCTAACCATTGTTGGCCGAGAGCCCCATTATTGGTCGATGATCAATTCCCCTTGGTCGATGGCCTTTCCACTTGGTCGATGGCCTCTCACAGCACCCAGAAGGTGATTTAGAAGCATCCCAGAGACTTGTGTAGTCTTCAGAGGTATAGAGCAGTGCAAACAGAGGCAACATGTAGCATGGCGATGGATTTCTGAGCAAAGCCGTCCGAGCATGCATTCATCCCTCGTCTCGAGGCCATTTTAGTGTTTTGATAACTTAGAATAGTTATTTATTTCGATTTGGTTGTGTAATTAATTAATTAGCTAGTTAGTTGGTTAATTAGTCAATTTGTATTATTCTTTCGGACCCTCCGTCGAGAGGGCGAATTTTGTAATAAGTGTGCATGAGTGTGTGAATGTCTTCCAACCCCACTTCTTTCTCCCTTTTACTTGCCTACTTTTGATGGTTAGTTAAGGGTTATTTTCAATTAGCATCCTTATGCTATGCATGTTTGCATCATTCATCTGTCTTGCATGCACCGGGCTCGGCGCATCATACAAACCGCTTTGTATTTCAATACCAAGTTGAATACATGTATCAATTGTTGTATCTCATATGCCATCTTAGAATAGCCGAGCCTATTTCTAGTTGCATTTTGCATGTGTTGCATTAGCCATCTAAACATGAACTGGGATCATGCATTGATTACTAACTAGTTTTTGTTTTGGCTCAGAATACTCGGTGAGTGTTTATGCTTTAGCATCCTTGCATGAGTGTGAGTGTTGCCATGGTAGCATGCTTGCCATAAGGCTATTTGCTTATGTGATATAACTGCCTGAATGCCTGTGGGTGAAAGTTGGATTACTTGAATTGGAACAATTCCTTGAAATGCAAGTTTTAAGCCCACTTGATTGTGGCAAAATCATGTTTTTCTAAGCCCACTTGAGGGTGGCAAATCCATGTCTTAGCCTACTTGCGAGTAGCACCTTCAAACCATTTTCAAACAAACATGAGATGTTTTGTTCCAACTTAGGCGATCTAGTTTATACTTATGTGTTGTGCGCATCACATAGTAATTCTAGTTAATAACCGAAATAAGAACGCATGTGTTTTCAAAAACAAGATATCATTTTTAGTAGTGGCCGATCTTTGATCGGGCGAGTGGGGGTGCTCATAGATGACCTTCCCCTATCATACCCAAGTTTCCTAGCCGAGGCAACTTTGGTGATGACGGACATGTGGCCTTAGGCAATGAGTCAGGGTTACCTAAATTCCCCCAAAATAAAACATTTAGGTGGCGACTCTGTATCTGGCAAAGCAGTCCATGTTTGGCACTTCTTTCTTAAAAATCAGTTTTCCAAAATGATTTGCCGAATTTGAACTCTTTGGTGATTTATCAATCTCGCATTGCACTTTGCGGGATTAGATTCAGAACCATGATATTTGAGTTCGAACTGTAGTAGCATGAAGCCCTTGGGCGCATCTACAATTTCTGGCGACTCTGCTGGGGAGTTAGAGAACTTGACTCATGATATCTTGTTTTGATTATAGTTATGTGTCTCTTTGCATTGCATTTGCATTGGTGCGCTTAGGACACCGTGTTTGCCATATGCTATTCCTGAATGGTTTGCCAGAGGCTTGCTTTGAGAAGCATGCCATAAGGCTGACCGGTTGCGGGCTCTGCCACGACGGGAACACAAACCTCGATTTTTACTGGGGCACCCTTTTTGACCATTCGACCTAGTGCATATCGGAATCCATGGTGACTATTCCAAGCTAGGACAAGTTACTTACCTAATTACAGGTTGTTTGAAACCGTTGTGTTCGTAGTGAAACCCTAGTTCCTGACAAAATAGGATAGGGAAACCCTACCCCAACATAGGGGTGTTTTGGCTCTCACTTGCTTGTTATGTGCTTTTAGAGTTGGCCTCTACAGGAATGCACGTATCAGTCTACGAGTTTGGGTATCAGGCCTGAGGGCATTAGTACTTGGGAATCAGTTTTATCTGCGGGTATCAGATTCAGATTTGGGGCAGTGATTTGGGAACAGTGATCAGTGGTTGAGGACAGTTCATTTAACTTGTGTTTGCCAACTGTGTGTTGTCTTTTTTAAGCTGTTGTGCTGTCTGTTTTTCTGTTCATTGTTTCCTTATTATTGCTTTATTTATCTTTTTG